GCAGCATGAACGCATTGTGACTCCCGTGACTATACGAGCAATCCGACCAGACTTCTCAGGACATTATTTCTAGAATGTACCGGGTAAGACATGAAATGCTATGTAGCGCCTGCAAGAAGGGCAGTTTTTGCAGGGCCCCTTTGGGGTTCCATGATAGTTTAGGTACTTTCAGTGCTGGAGCGCTCCATACGCACTTCACTCTGCACCTACCGCTCAGCCTTTTTCTCACGCGGGGGTTTCAGGGTTTTGGATGGTTTAGGGATCCAAGGGATTTTGGGAGGAATGCGGGTATCCATTTTTGGGGATATCTCGAGAAACCCATATGTCCTTCATTTTCTCGCGGAGGCGGCTAGTAGACACGGCCGCCTCAACACTCGGTGAGTAAGCCCTCTACTGTTTCATCCTGCCGCACCAAGGTTACCAGAGCGATTGAGTTTGTCAACACAGGGATACTGCCAGGAGCTTGGGATGCATGACGACAAGGGGGTTCTGGGGAGCTTCAGGATTATGCAGGGCTTGCCCTGCGAAACTCCCAAAGACAAACTTCAGGAAAAGGGTCTGGCAGAATTTCAGTATACGGCATGCATCTGCCAATATTTCCCTGCACCGAGCCGCTTCAACAGTTACAAAACGGGGCTGCGGCTACATCACATGATCTCCCATGCATGACCTAGCATGCTTGTCATGGTGCTACGCCTGGCCCTTTCTCCTTCTGTGTCGCACAAAGCTTTGGTAAGTGCACTTCGCAACAGAATGATTGCAAACTTCGAGCGCTAGTCGAGCCCCAGGATCTGAACAGAAACCATTTGGCATCAAACCAGTGACAGCTACCGTGACCTGAAACACGGTGTGCCGGACTCAGAGATGATATTAGGGGCAATGTTACGCGGATAATGAGAAGCAGTGTTTCTAATGAAGATCATTTCGAGCTAAAACATACATTCCGCAGCTTTTGATGTCGTTATGTGTGCTTGGAGAAAAGTATTGGGAGGTTTTCGTTGCAGGCCCCAACTTTGAGACAAGGACATACTTTTGGGGACTGGAACTTCCCCCCAAACAGTTGTTCGCCGAGCCCGCGAGTAGTCAGCTTCCACAAGTATGGAACCCTGGTCCTCTTAGGCTGATCGTGGATCGTGAGGACCCCAGTAATTGCATTTCATGCACGCGGGAGCTTGAATGTACAGGGAGCTCTTGGGCGCTTGTCATTGAGTCGCACAGGATTCTTGCACGTGTCCCATACAATGCCCATACCAACACTGTAATGCAAAACCCTGGCCTCTGCACGGGTCACAAATTTGGGATCGTCCCGGGTGACAAGAACTTAGAAACAGCATGCCATGCCAGTCGCCACGGCCGGGGGCCTCCCAAATGTTGCCCTTGCAGCTGACTACCAGCGCAACGTCCCCGGCAGGCAGCTGGGCACTGCTGGCGCCGGCCTTCAACAGTCTTCATCGATACAACGGACTACAGGCTCAATATGCAAATTACTATCGAAAATCACTAATCCAAATTGGATTTAGCGACAGTCTCAAAGTTATGACAGTTGTTTGGCTAGCTTCTGCAGGCACTCAAGAATCTAAGAATGCCTGCCAGCCTACTAAGCTCGATTGCTTTCTGCCGTGGTTTGCTATGCTATGCTGCATGCTACATTACACTGAACATCTGTGTACTACTCTATGCTAGACGATCACTTTCGGACAAACATGTGCAACTGCCATTTACCTACTCATGCACTCTGCAGAACACAACCTGAATTATGCTAGATATGCAAAAGCATCCCTTCGTGCATCCATTCTATTCTCTTGATAATTAGAACAGTTGACAGTAACTCAGCAGAAACCTAATCCATAAGCCCAACAACCCTGATGCAATCCCCCTATCCCTCACGTGATCCCTACGCATCACTGAGGTACCCCTGTCAGCGCTTACGTGCCTTCTCCTGCCCACATGCTGCGGTGGAGGAGGATGAGGGTGCAGCACAGGAGCCGCTCAAGGCTGCAACCGCCTTTAGGGGCTTCTTCTCCCAACGCTTTTTGGCTGCACTACAGCAGGGACTCTAGGAGAACTTGAAACTGAAGCATTCAAAGACCTACTGGCATGTACTGGCACTTATAGCTTTCCCGCCAGTCACCAATCATGTACATAGGAGGGGTGCCAAGAAGAGACGTATAGTTTTGCGAAAATGAAATTCCAACGGGGCCGCTGAAAGAGAGGAAGCTCCTTCGCAGCCTTCGGTTTTAAACCCAAGTCTACGGCCTAGGATTTGGAAAGCAAGTAGCCTTACCTGACCTTGTGCAGAGTTGTCAAGCTTCACGGCAAGCACTCTCCCACAACACACCAGCCTCTGACATGCCCTTTACGGAGCACAGCACCTGCTGATGGCAGTTTGGGATTTCTGCGAGAACTTGTTACATCTAAAACATTGGTCATCATCCTAGCGGTACTAGGAGGAAGGGCCGTCATGGTGGTTGTAGGTGGTTTACATGGACGATGAGGAGGAGTACAACAAGCATATTGTAGCAGCAGACCACACAGCAGACTATACCAGGAGAGTAATTCGCTTCCGCCAGGAAATCAGAATTCACCCTGCAGCTTCTGCATCCTTAGATTGGGTTGGGATGGTCCAAATGAAAATTGCTGCTTCAACAAAGAGACTCGCGTCCGTTTCCCTAACATGTTCTACAAAAGGTTTATGGTCTAGGGTTGATATATGGGATTGAATAGGAATAATTAATGGAAAAGAAAATGGAAACTACTCTAACGGGGTTCTATAGGGTTCAGGGATACATGTATGGGGGTTTCCCAAAAATAGGTATACCTTTTTGGGGGGTCCCCAAAATCAGGATTCTAGCATTTTGGGGTCTATATTGGGGTCCCCTTATTTTGGGAAACTACCATTTCTACAAGCGTCAGCTCTCTAGCAGAAAGCCGGCAGTGCTCTTACCACTTAGCAGGGGTCTCGCAAGGGCCTATCACGCCAACTGGACCTGGATGGGATTGTGGACTGCTCTCCCGCTCCCCTGCTGAAAGTCCAAGTAATCTATACAAGGGGAATGCAGTGGCGGAGTCGACCTTAGTTCAGCGTCAAAGCCACTAAAAAGCTTTTGTCATTTTTGTAGCAAACATGTCAGATGGTCAGATAGGTTCCAGTCTCCCATAAAATGTTGAAACTGGCATTGTTTCTCTTGTAGACTCGCGTGTATGTCCACATGCTCTGGCTGAAGCCCACATTGCCTGGTTCTTCTGTGTCAGGGAGACCACGGACACGGCATCTCCGTTTGTGTTACCCTGGCTCAAACATGCATGTGGCAGCAGAAGCAGGATTCCCTTCGGCGCTTACAGTTCAGAACTTCCCACCAGCAACTGAACATCCTGTCAATGAATGATCCAACCGTTTTATCTCCCCAAAAAAAAAGCACGATCCACTTAAATGCAGTGCGCCGAAGCCTTGGCCTACGAGCAGACGGATCTGGGAAATCCCCGTTGAATGCTGTGACCCTAAGTTACTCCGTATATACACCACTCCACAATTCCTTACTGTCATCCGCAAACATTCCCTCCACATGATCCAATTACAACCTTGAATCCACAAAAACCTTAGGATGCATAGTGCGAAGACCCCCAAAAGTGGTTCCATAACTTGAGGAAGCCCATCTGCACTCCCTTGAGCCCCTGAATAATTCCCAACTACCCCTACATCTTACTGCACCCTCCGCAACGTGGAGATTCCTGTTCTCCCACCATCCGCCCACCTCGAGTAACAGAGCTGGGGGCAAGTCCGAGCCGGTTGTCTCCTTCACATGGAACATATGGAGGAGATTGTATATGGGTCCACCTGAAGGATGCTGTGCTTGTAATACAAGTAGGGCCTAGTTTGCGCAACTTCTCATAATTCTGGATCAAGCAGTAGCTACCTGCTGCGACTTCCATCACACATCCCCTTGCGCCTGGACTTTCGAACGCAACGCTTGCGAAGCAACTGCTGCCTCCCAGATGTTCTGGCCCTGCACAGGTCAAACTTTCAAGCTCACTTGAGCCGTTGCTAAACGTTTGAGCCCAGTAAGACTTCATTCTTCTTGTGAAATACCAGACTGAAGAAAGGGTATCATCTTACTCTATATTGATATTGTGGACCAGAGGACCTCCATAAACAATGCTATTAACTTACCCCTGCCGGACAGCTTCGCAAGCCAGAGAAGCTCTCCACTTTCGTTTATGGCCGTTTTAGAGGGATCCCTACAATAAGGATGATAGTGAAGGTGGGTCTATATTGGGACTACCATATCCTACCACTGCCATGTCGGTAGCTCTACGATAATCCACCATAGTTGTGGCGTTTCGTTCCTCGGCCTTCAGTCCTGTCTGATTGTAGGGCCCACTTAGAGCTTCTATAGGAAGACATTGAGAACCTTCAAGGATCCCTGGGCAGAAACCCAAAGCCTTGCACTTACCCTAAACATTGAACCCTGAACCCTAAACCTTAAGTCTGGCAACCCCTTAATCCTTGATCTTAGCCCCCATACCCTGATGCCTTGCAGGACACCACCACGGCCAAATCCTCGCCCTTTGGCAGCTCCACAGCGGGGCCCTGGAAGAGGATTTGAATTGATCGGTTTGGTGGTCTTTTTGCTTTGCCTGTGAACTAAGGCTTTTGGGTCCAGCGCTTCAGGGTGGTGGCCTCTCTACCTGTTCTCCATACAAGCTGGCTTGCTGCCGATGTGCAATAGTAGTGATGGATCCCTGTATGCGCCCTACGGTCCGCCTTAGAGACTCGGCGTGGATCATGAGTTGACCCTGAGCTTCGGAGAAGTATCAGAAGATTCCTAGACTTGGGTTAGACGGGAAGAACACTCCTGGTTTTTGCTGGTAGGCTTGTAAGTCAGGCCTTGGGCTGAATGGTTCCAGTGGCCTTTAGAAAGGTTGAAGATTGTGAGCACAAAAACCTTGCCAGTTCTCTTCAGTTAGGACCAAACTTTCCCAGGTAGATTGGACCCATCGGCCTTGGACGCTGTCTTGGCACTCGCACTGCCACTGCACTTTGAGGCTGCTGGAGCGCTGCGGCGCAGAGGAATGCGGGGGAGGTCGATGCTGTGCCGCGCCAGGTTCAGCGTGTTCTTCATCAGCATCGCCTCAGTCAGTTTTGCTGCTAAATCTCTAGGCTGGTTTTGCGTTCGCCTACGTCAGACTCCGGAGACATGGAGCTTGTCACCCAAGCTTGTCAGGACAAGGAGTCCTCCTCCCGGCGCTCTGCGCTGCTGGTGCCGCATCTTCTGAGGCTCTCAGGGCGTGGCGATCGTCATTGGGCCGACACCGCCCGGAACAGGGGTAATCAGGGAGGCAACCTGACATCGGCAGGGGCCGGTGCACGCTTGCGGAAAGGAGCTGGGGTCGGCAGATGCTACACAGCCCAGTAAGGCCATAAGGATGAGGAAGACAAACAGGAATTCACAACTCTTGCGATGCAGACCAGGCACGCCCTGAGCCTCTTTGTAGTTGACGTCGCCAACCTCAGAGTCTCTCAACATGGATTTCTCAGTGCCTTGGTGCAGTGTGGCTTGGTGAAGCGTTCATTCGCATCTTGGCTCCCTTCTTCAAATTCATAAGGGCGGTTGTCAAAATTATGGTCCCTTTTTGCATCCCTATTATAATACGTCACCTAATATTTAGGGTGCCCAAAAAGGGTTCATAATTTTGACTTCCGCCCATATGTATAACCCCTATATAACCCTGCAGTCCGTTATCCCAATATAACCCATAAGTCCCCGAGGCCAGGGCCAGACGATGTCCAAGCTTCTTCGTGGCATCATCGATCTCAGGCAAACAGGGTGACCCCACAGATGCGGGTATAATATAGGGTTATAATATAGGTTTATGGCGATAATGGAAAAGAAAATAGTAACTACGATTTCTTGTAAAAGCCCAATGAACAGATGGCCTGAAATCAAAGATGCTGCCCGGAAAATGCACCCGGGAGCCTATGGTTTTGGAGAGAAGCGTCAACTTACAATGTGTGAAAGCTCCAGACCTGCAAGCCTCCAGTCTAGTGTCTTTTTTTTGCTGTGCATGCAAAGCATTCGCACAATCGAGAAGTGTACATTCGATACCGAAGCGTGGGGCTTAGAGCTTGCAGTCAGACAAAAGATGGCCACTGTGGGACATTGAATCCCACAGTGGTAGCGGAGCCTCCGGTCATTAGAGACCCGGGGGCAGACGCGCCATGGCTGCGAACGACGACCGCGTGACGCTTGAGTCCTTTGATGGAACTGATGTTGCTGCGTACAGGAAGTGGAATAGGCGTGCACAATTGATGCTGGCTGCTCTTCCCAACACTGTGCCAAGAGAGAAATTGGGACCGAGACTTATGCAGTATATCAAAGGTGAGGCTGAGCTGGTCTGTGAGTCGATCCCTGTAGATAAGCTTTGCAAGGAGGACGGAGACCAGCTGGTTTTTGCGCTTCTCGACGAGAAGTTTGGACCTCAACCAACAGATCTTCTGCATGCGGCTTTGCAAGAGTTCTTTTATGAACTTTCTGTCAAGAACGGCGAGACGTATCAGAACTTCCAGGCCAGGTTCTTTCACGCCAACCAGAAGCTGGAGGAACAGGTGGTCAAGCTCCCGGCAAAGGTGCTTGGCTTCATGATGGTCAAAAAGCTGCGACTCGATCCGACTCAGGAGTCCCTGTTGTTAACGGTGACAAAGGGTTCCATGGACTATAAGACGTGGTGGCTGCTGTTAAATCTGTGTTCCCCGAAGGCAAGGGAGCCAGTGGCAAGCAGTCCAAGGAGGTGTTCTTCACGGCCACCGCCGACGACAGTCCAGGTGATGAGAACGAGGACTTCCAAGAT